TTTCAACAGCTCCTTTCATACGCAGTGTCCACTGAGATTGTCAAGTAGATGTGGTTATCAAGAGCGGGAGACGGCGTTGTTCTGTCCATGTCTCGGCCCTGTTGCCGGTTTCTGGTTGGTTGCTGTGTTCCCCTTCTCAAGCCTTGGCTGTGGGGTCCTGCCGCTGGTCGAACTGTGCGCCCTTTCCATTTGCTGTGCCTCCTCCTTGCTCCCGCCCAGATTTTCTACCTTAGAGAGTTATTTACTATCGTTGCGATCTTGCCCTGTGGAAGCCAGCTTCTGTGAAAAGCTTGCTCCTTTATGATATATTTGTCTGGCCTGTGTTTCGCTAGGTCTCTTACTGCGTTCCACCTGCATCGGATCTCTGTTTCCACCATTCTTATTCATAAAGGCCAGGATTCCTACCTCGCTGTGAGTTTTCCATTGATCATCTGTACCTACCTTCTCTCTTCCATTTGGAGTATTCATAGTATCTTTACCAGTTCCCTACTCTACGGTTCTTACTAGATAATAGTAAAGAGTCCTAAAGACTTCAACTGTTACTATCCTATAGCAACAAACACTTCTGTCAACTCATGTTGAAAGGACTATTCATATTTGATAGTATAGACTGTATAGGACTATTCATAGGACTATTCATAGGACTATTCATATTTGAATCAATTTGATAGTATATAATATATATATTTAACACTTGTTAGTTTTAAGTTTGAACTTTCTACTCTATTGTTATTAGATAAAAGGATAGCGACTTCTGTTAAGGAAGTAGCAAATAGATCAACCTACTTCAGATATGTCTATTTTTCTGCGCATAGGAAGCAAGCATAGGGGAAAGGATAGGGCTGTTCTGTTGCCACTGGTCTTTTTCCATTCAGTATGGATTGCATAAATGCCCTTTGATCTATTGTCAAGTTCCGAGCCATAATACATCGGTGGTTTGGTGAACAAGTGTGTGAATACCAGGTAGTCATTGTCCCTTAGCCGTATGTGGCTTGATGAAGCCGAATTCATAGTTTTATGGCTGTTTCTAGAAACCGGCGTGCCTCGTTCAGGGTAATAACGTCATCATATCACTTTGGTGACCATTTTGAAGATCGTTTCTAACTTTCTATCAGCCTTTTTTTGTGTGTGTGTGTGTGTGACACTGTGTGTCTGATTGTTGACAACTTTTGGTCAGCGACCATCGACTGCTCAATAGCTGTGTGGTTTCCTCAGCTCCACATCCAATGGCTAACTCATCATTCAAGAATCAAGACTGTTTGCTCAAGAAGTTGGCATAAAAAGGGACAATACCTACGTTACTATTGAGGTTGTTATTAAGGCTTGCTCATCTATGCTTGCTCATGTGAGTTGCTTCATTCTTAATTTTTTTGCTTGATCTTGGTGCACAATCTCCGCTTTCCTGATCAGGGACGTGCAGTCAGTCGTGTGCCAGAGGGATTCAACCTTCATCCAGATGTAAGCTCACTGTGCCACAACCTCCCTTCTCTCTCTCTCTCTCTCTCTCTCTCTCTCTCTCTCTCTCTCTCTCTCTCTCTCTCTCTCTCTCTCTCTCTCTCTCTCTCTCTCTCT